TAATTATAGGTATATAATACAGACATAAGTCTATCTATATATTTCTTTTGCTAACGTAATAATTTAAATATTTTCAACCTCCAATTATATTCATAATTATTTCATCAACTTTAAATTTATATTTTTAATAACCCAGCATTTGATCATGGCATCTAATTCTAAGAAAAGAAAAATAACAGAAGAAAAGAGAAAATTCATTATCTTTTGGCCAAAAAATATTTTGTAATTGAAACATGCCTTATTTGTCATGATAACATTGCCGTGTGAAATTGTGCATTTTCAGAGTTTATTAAAAAGAAAAGAATTTCCTGCGAACATTGAAAAATATAGTAAATTATGTGAAGTTTTGTTAAAAGATTTAACAATGAGATTTTCTGACTTCAGAAAATAAAAACTGAATTAAAATTGTTCAGTGATCCATTTTCATTTAATTATGTGGAAGAAGTAGCCAAATACCAGCTAGAACTCATTGATTTTCAAAGCAGGAAATCTTTGAAAACTTATCATAGAGAATTTTATAAAGTTCATTCTTTCAATGAATTTGATAAAATTGTCAATTTATCGAGAAAACTGTTATGCAAGTGGGGTAGTTTTTTTACTCTTTCCACCCTATGGGCACTAAGAGAACCTCTTTTTAGCAGGCCCATTTTGGGTTCGGCCAGGACCACAATGGGGCGGCCGGGTGGAGAGGGACAGGGCCCGACATATCTGGACAGACTACCCCCGAAAAATTCCCAGGGATTTTCGATCCGACCCGACCCATTCCGATTCGATCCCGGGTCCCCCAGAGCGTTAGGCTGCCACCTTAACCGCTCGGCCGTCCGGCCCTCGCATGTGGGTAGTACATGCAGTTGTGAACAATTTTTGTTTTTCGTGCATGAAGAACATTAATTAAAGCTGCTGAAAGACATAGGTTGAATGACTCTCATTTAACTAACATTCTTAGAATTAAGACTAGTATTACAAAATTCGCAGCCATATGGCCGAGCGGTCAAGGTGGCAACCTACCGCTCTGGGGGACCCGGGAATCCAGATGGCTCGAAAAATCCCCAGGAATTTTTTGCGGGGTAGTCCGTCCGAATATGTCGAGCCCCGTCCCTCACCACACAGCCATCCCATTGTGGGCCGTGGGGCTGGCCAAACCCGTAATGGACCTGCTAAAAAGAAGCCCTCTTAGTAAACACAGGGTGGAGACTTAAAAGTACGAAACTACAATCGATCGATTTAAACTGTTGGTTATATTTTCTACAATTTTTATGTTCTTTTAATTTTTAATCATTCGCAATGCACATATTTCTTAAATGTCACATATTTTGGTCAGCACAGCGTACTATACTGTACATTTATTTTTCTAGATAGTTTCTCTGAGTGCTCCTAGATGACGCTAATCGAGTGCAAATTAAAACTATGCCACATCGATCAGTTATACATTGTTATATAGCCTATCGGGGTTAGCAATATCTCTCTTTCTCCCCTACGTAACAATGACCATGTTCAGAGTCTAGAATCCAAAGGGTATTGTGTGTATATTTTCAAATTCTTGATATTCTCATCTTAATTTTCAAAAAATTGTTTAAAATATGAAAAGGCACAGTTCAAGGAAAATTAAATACTGTATATAATAATCGATATTCAGCTATATGTTCCTCTTAAAATTATGGAATAAATTATAACTTTTTTTTACAATATAAATTGTTTTTCAGGCAAATTGACTGACAGTTGGCAATTAAATTTTTTTTCAATTTTATTTTTAATGATACCAGGACTGTATTTCGATACTGATTAATTAATATCCGCGACTCTCAATCAGTTTGTCGTGTTTTTATTCCGAAAAAGTTTTTACTTTTTTTAAAAAAATTCATATTTATATGATACCATTCAGTATCATACTTTCTTTCGAAACCGATCTGAATACCAGTGTCATGGTCGTTCACAGAAACTTTTTTCGGAGAGGGCAAAACTTGGAACAAATAAATTTTAAATAAATATGAAACATGAATAAATTTTTAATTAATTAATTAATTAATTTTCAGTGGTTCTTTTAAGACAGAGAAAGCTTTCCATGGTCGAGGATGTAATGTTACATATCTTTCACTTTTACGGTTGTAATTTGTGGAACTTTTTACTTGAACCCAGGGGGAGATAAGTGCCTCGTTTGCCCATGTCTTTATCGAAACGTACCCTACGGATCCGTGTAGACGTTTCCTAGCAACGACCTATTTACGGACGTCGAAATCACGGAACTGAAAGAATAGAAGTCATTCCTACTTTTCACGAATAAGGACACTTACGAATTGACGTCTTCGAAAGATGACCAATAGAAAGCCTTTTCCGTTCAATTGTTATAGTGGCTCGCGACGAAAATATTAGGCTGGTAAGAAAAAAAATCCGTGTTTATACGATGAGTCTCGAATGTCAATAAAATAAAAATAAAATAATAATAATAATAATCAACGCAGAGCCCAAACGGTTAGGAGTNCTTATCAAATCGGCTATTGGTGGCCCGAATCATCGTGGAGCATGGTTTTATTTACCCACTTCGAAGCTTCGTAACTCCTGTGCCTTTTGTCGAAAATTTCTGAAATTTTTCAGGGAGGTTTATGTATTGGGGAAAATGTTTTTAGAAATTTTCAAGAAAATCGGACCATCGCTTCGGGAGACATTAAGGTGGTGAGATCATATCTCAAAAACCTTACAAGTTTTGAAATTTGTTTTACTCGTACAAACTTTTAGTTTAAAAAAAAACTGTTCGAAAAATTTTTATTACGATTAATATTGAAAAGTTATTTTTTAATAAAACCTCGTAACAGATGATGCCATACAGTTTTAAAACTGTATGGCATCATCTTTTTTTTAAACATGTTTTTCGCCGGGAAAGTTACGCAACTCGTTGCTGTATTTTTTTTCTTATTGTTTCTTATGATAAATTCGTTCCAAATTGGCGGATATTTCGATTATATCAGTAATATAAATTACAAACCAGATGGCATCGTGAAATTTTCATATCTTACCGGAGAATCTTTGCAACAGAACGAATTTAAGATGTAAAAACATGAAAAATCGTTCGCTCTATTCGTTGTTTCATTATTTTTGTTAATCCTTCCGCGAATTAGCTTCGAGAATATGAAGCTTCTACTCTATTTTAAAATATATATATAATCTAACGTTGCATTTTTGTAGCATTTTATCAAAATAATAAAATTCGGAAGAACATCATTGTTACATTCTTTGCAAATAATTACCGAATTTTTGTAATACTTTTTAGTGAATTCAATTAAAATATTGGTTTTCTATTTAAATCATTATCTATCTTTAACTTTACAAATAGTTTAAAAGTTGACAAGAAGGATCGAGCCGACAAAATTTCGATATCATAAAAATGAAGGAATATTATTGTACAGATCGTAATGATTCGAATTTTATCCTCCTTTATTCCGAAAGTTCGTTTTATAACATAAAGACCTATATCATATAATAACATAATCATATTTGTTACGAAGAAGTTGTTTCATTCAATAGCATTAAAAACAATTAATTTCGTGAATTGGTGAAAAGACAAAACGTTGGAATTGTGGTTTCTTCTAAGCAATACATATTTGTTTATTTAGTTATGGCAACGCAACACTTGGGTGATCTGCCTAGAAGGATGCCTTCCGGGAAGACTTTTTATTTAAGTGAAACTGACTCCTATTTAAGCGTTAAGCCCGTAATATTTAAGCCCGTCCGAGCGAGGCGCGAACCCACGATCAAAGTCCGTGTTCAAGTGTTCAGGGTACGAAGACCGCTTGGCCACTAAACAATAGATATTGAAATGCATTATACAATATATTATATTTGCGTAAGTAACACAAATGACTTCAAATTTTGCTTTTATTTAAACTCTTTCTGCCCTGTGGTCACTAAGAGGGCCTTTTTAAAGCAAGCCCATTATGAGTTCGGCCGGTTGGTTGAGGGACGGGGCCTGACTAATCCGGACGGACCACCACCCGAAAATTCCTGGAGGTTTTTTTGATTCACATGGAGTCCATTCCGGACCTCCCAGAGATGTAGGTTCTGGGTGATCTTAACCGCTCGGTCATCCGGCCATCAAATGTTGTTACCTATAAATTTCTATAAATGAAACTTCTAGTGGATGATAAGGCTTTGAAATATAACAGTTTTTACAATTATAATCAATTCTACTGTTCTGATTTTTTCCATTCTTATGCCGTAGTAATCAGAACAGGATTAAATTATAGTTAAATTGTTTTCTCTTCTCGTATTGTTTTCAATAGTAAATGAATGATAGATATATCGCTATATAATTATATATCGAGACGTCCCACAAACATTATTAAAAGAGGTACTGTACATAAACAGTTTGTTACTATGCATAACAAAAACACGCAATTGTTTTCAATCTCTTATTATATATTTGCAAAGTACGAAAAAAATGAAGGTCAAACAAAATAATGCATTATGATATTATTCTGCTCAGTTTATATTTTTAAAATATTTTCAGAAAGATTGACGATCTCGAAGGTTGTCAGTTAGTCGATTTATTCAGCTGTATACACAATAAAACTAGAACATTTACGACAAAGAGGAAAGACAGTCATTAGACAGCAGGACTTTGGTTTTAGAAACTGTTACAATAACAAAATATTCCATAAACAGGAAGATATAAATAAAATAGTAATAAGAAATAATAACTGATATTAATCTAATTGACCTGCTTCGTTAGAAGAGGGCCTTAAAAGACACGAATGCTCCGTCATGTGAAGACGATACATGTCATGAAAATATATGTATATGACCTCTATATGGGTCATATAATATGGTTAGTAAAGTTAACAAAAATTAGCAATGGTTGAGAGAATTTTAAGAAAATAATAGGACAACAATGGAATATGTATTTTTTGGTAGTATTATCCTTTGAATATGCATATTTTTAATGTATGACTTCAAGAAAAAATATTTTTATATGTATTGAAAGCTTTATTTTACAAATAAACATTGTTATATACGAATAAAAATGTAAAATGTTCATTCTAATAGTAAATTCTATAAAGAATTGAAAGTATTTTAAAGACTTTCCTCGTTTCTTTCATATTTTCATCTTTTCCTGTCCATAAATTTAATGATTAATAAGTTAATTGCTCCAGAAACGAATAAGATAATGCCAGAAATATAAAAGGAAATATCATAAGAATAAATCAAATCGTATAATATACCTGAAATGAAAAATTTTCATAAATACAAGACCAAACTTTAAAATAAAATTAAGATTATCTTACCGGCTAGCGGCAAACCAATAAACGTGGCTAATCCTTGGATCAAAAGTAGAAGGCCGAAAGCGTTTGCAAATTGATCTTGGGGAATGATTTCTAATAGAACAACGACATCCAGAGCAGAAACGCCACCGGTACCAATGCTATAAATGGAGATGACTGTAACTATGATTCCATAATGAACAAATAGCGGTATTAATATAACAATAATTCCGCTTATGCAAATGGAGATGCTATATAGTATGGTAGGGCTTATCCATGAAAAATCGCCTAAATAACCCAAGGAAATCTAAAAGAATGTATATATATTGATGTCAGAGACAACTGCACAAATTATTTTCAAAAGAAATATGTAAAATTAATTATAATTATAATATATAATAAATTAATTATAATTTAATTTCTATAATAAAATAAAATTTGTTTTGATGTTCATGTCCTGAAAAATAAAATAAAATATAATTTTAAATAAATTATAACGTAAATAACAATTAGTGGATCGAACAAAATCAATTTTTAAAAATAAACTACGCTAACAAAATAAATTATTTTCTAAATTCTTCCTTTCTTTATAAGAAAATTATAAATTATATAATGTTTAATCTTTTTCCTCGATAAATCTTAAGTTTTAGTTTAATAATAGTAATTTTATTCAGTGTACTAGTATAATGCACAAGGAAACTTATCATATAAATGCCAGTAAATTATTTAGCTATTGATAAAAAACCATTTTCTTTCTTCTGATAAACTATTTTCTCTTCTTTTCTCGTTTTCGTTGATGTACAGTACACCCATTATCATAAAAAAAATAGAATAAAATACAAGAAAAAAATTCAGATTATTGATAACGAAAATACAGTAGAGCGTCGTTTATCCGAAAGAATTCCAGTCGGCAAATTTAAATTTTCGCTAGTGCTGTGGCGCTGCAATCTTTGGCTATATCTTGGCCAATATTTTTTTGTTGGTGTGTGTGTGTTTTAGCTGGCAGCACTGGCACTTTTGTGTGGTGTTTTCTGAGAACTGTGTGTCGTGATGACGTGCGACTAAATATCCAGATGGCACAACGCGCTGATTGGTCAGCTGAATGACGTCAACCCACCGAAATAGGAAATGCTGATCGATTATGTTATGTGGGAAGAAGTCATGCCGGAATAAATTATTTCCTTTAGTTGTCCCAATATGTAGTGAGAATAAAGTGAAAATACAGTATAAGGTTTAGCTTGCATGCTTTCTTAAATTTATAGGAATAATTTTAAAATGGTTTACTTTTTCGTAATAAATTTAACATTATTTACTATTATTATTATTATTATTATTATTATTATTGGAACGAATTTTAACTTCATACTTGATCTTTATGCACCTCTGAATCAAATCATAGACAATAAATAATTTTAATAGTGTGATTGATTAATTCTATAAATTTAAATATACGTGCACAGATAATAAATAACAGAAAATTTATACTTTGTTACAGATATTATTCATAAAAAGTTCGAGAAAGGATGAAATTTATAATTAAGACGAGTCAGAATATTTTTGAATTTGTCGTATACGTTTAATATAGTTAGATGAAACAATAAAATTAACTAAGTTTTGTATACTTCTGAAGAGAAATTTTCACAGATCTTGTTTAACAAATTATAAAGTTTAAATGTAAAAGTTATTGAACAATTTTGAATAAAGAATATTTTTCATAGGTTACTCATAACAGAATTTTTTTTCTAACGATTTAGTTAGAATTAACAGTTCTTTTTGTCAATAGATATTTTGCGCTTTTGAATGTCAGTTCAAAATCTGTGTTAAGAAACAACACTTCAAATATACAGAAATTTCATATTCCATAATGGATATATCTGTAAATGTGTTTAATCAAATTTGTATGACCAATTTTCAAATTAAAAGTATTTCTTGTATACATTATTTAACAGCCAATAATACTGTAAGTACAGTATTTAAATTTCATTGAATATAATAGTTATATATGTTTTAAATAAGAATTTTCATACATTTCATCATGGAAATTGTTTATGAATATAAAAATATCAGGAAAAAGTAATGTTGTATTTGTCCTGTAATGTTTTCATTTAAACCCTTTTTTATTTTTTGTTAAAATAATATTACCATACTAATAAATAACTATTTCTAGATGCCTTGTATGTGGTGTATACCTGGTTTCGTAGGAAAATATAAAGTGAAGTGATATCCAGTGTCTATATTTAACTATAACTAAATCAACACCTGTTCACTCGCTGAGAGATTTATTCTTAACACAAACGTTTTCAATCCAATCAATGGATCATCGTCAGGTAAATTAGAACATTTCAAAAAATAGAACAACAAGTTCAAAATACAAAAAATATAAATATTAATAACGGATAACCAATATATTACTAACAGCAAAATAACGTTTTTAAATAATATAATTAATACAAATGCTGCTAAAATTATAAATAAAAATAAAATATTAAAATATAACAAATAAATTGTGTATACAAAATATTAATACTTCAAACTTAATAGACAAATCGATAACACTATATATTAATAATGCTTAATAAACTGTACGGAGTTTCTCAACTAAACTATACAGAGTTTTTTATATACATAATATTAAAGCTCCTGCTCTTATTTGAAGTTTTTAACTGCAAACTTCCATGCGGAAGGAAGTCCCTCGGCATCCCTTGCGTTGATGCAATTCCCTTTAAGTTTGCTTTTATAAATTTCTAATTTTTCGGCCGTTTTTGCCAAGGTCGGGGAGTGTATTTGTTTCAGTATATCTGCTTCATTCCATCTTACTATCGAACCCTCCGTTTGCGCCATTTGAGACAATACTGTGGCATTCGAACCTTTTCTCACATCATATCTGTGCTCTTTTATCCTTACCCCTAGATTTCTAGTAGTAACCCCAACATATTCTTTATCTATTCCTAACATCTGATTCTCGTATGG